ATACATTTTAAATATCTCTATATGATGCAGAGAAGCAGATCTGCATGTGAGAGCAAGTGTGTGTACACAACTCGGGGACACTTGGACACCAAAATAATGATAGTAATGAATTACAAAGCATAGAAGAAAATAGAACTCTGTAAGTCATTACTGAATTAAATAATTTATTAACAAATTGGGCAGAAGGGAGAGCTTTTCCATGGAGTCGAAAACTGATAACATGGTATGTAAAATGAGCAATGAGGCCGGATGTGGTGGGTGTCTGTAATCCCAGCTACTCAGGAGGCTGAGGCAGGAGAATTGCTTGAACCCGGGAGGTAGAGTTGCAGTGTGTCAAGATCGTGCTGTCACACTGTAGTCCAGGTGACAGAGCAAGACTGTCTTGGGGGGTTGGTGAGGGGTGAGAGGGAGGGAGCAAAGAGACTACCAAAGCACCATTTGGCAAGCAACTACAATAGTAACAGTTGCTTCTAGTAAGAATTATTAACAGGTGTTGAAAGTAGTAATTTTTTAAAAAACAAGATATTTATATAGTCTGGAAATACATGTCTATAAGAAACTTACTAGTTAAAAAGGGAAAACAGTATATTTACAATAGAGAAACTTGGCAAATGGTCAAAGCTTGTATCACTTGTAATGGGACAAAAGTGACACTATGTGCCTCTTGATATTATGCATTGTGCAGGACACACATCTCTGATCTTCCTGCCAAAAACCACATAACCTGAATCTAAACGCCCCCATCAAAAAAAAAATAGATAAACCCAAATTGAGGGCCACTCTACAAAATAAATAGCTTACAGTTTTCAAAAATACCAAGATCATGAAAGGTATGCACTAAAGAACTCTTCCAGGAGACTAAAGTGATGACAGTTCATGGAAAACGCTGTGTGCGTGAGTGCGTGCGTGCGTGCGTGCGTGCGTGCGTGCGTGTGTGTGTGTGTTAAATGTGGTAAAATGCTAACATCTTAGAAATCTGGGCAAAGGGTATGTCTGCAGTATTTCTGTAAGTCTGAAATTATTTTGGAATAAAGTTCTTTTTAAAAAGTAACTAGTTTTTTAAAACATAGCTGGTTGACTGCTGTGTCCCAGTAGGAAATCCCTTATTCTACCTCTCTCCTTTTATTTTTAAATTCTGTGTTGGATTTTATAAATTACACATTTGCAAAAATTTCAAATGATGCAAAATTGTACAAAAGTCTATGCCCTCTCCCACTCCTGCCACCAAGTTGACTGCTATTAACAGATTGGGTGTCTCATTCTCAATCTTTCTGGACTTAAAACAGAGAAGTATACATGCACATGTATATACAGTCTCCTCTACCCCATACTAGTAAATATTGTTGAGTATCTTTTTTTTAACTTAATCTAGCCATAGGCATCTTTCTCAATATGTATGTATAGCTCTGCTTTGTTTTTAACCATTTTTTCTCTAAATGAATCATTCCATTGTCCCTAAAACTCATTGTCAAGGACTGATGGACTGACCTCAGTGTAGAACCATTTGTAAGGACACTGGGAGCCTGAAGTTCACAGAATTGAAGTACTGTTTATTGTACCAACTAACCAAGACTCTTTCAGGCATGAGGGTGCTCTGAAGACCTCAGTGACAGGAATTTGGAGACTTTCTCTCTAGTGAGAGGCTGTTAAGGTGAATCAACTTTGGTCAGCACCATTTTCTGTGTCTCTATATAGGCTCAAGGTTGAAATCTTTTTAAGAGAAAACAGTTTTTGTCATTTTGGGCTGCTGCAGCTGCCCCATAAGTAGGCAGCTGTGATCAGAGGAATAAAGGCACAGAACACAGACATTGGCTCCTGAGTACCCTTCCCAAAGAAGGCTTAGAGGGCAGTAGCCATCTCTCCCAGCGTCTCTTCGCGGGCTGCTCTAATGGTGTGATGTCTGATCTGTTCCAGCCTCTTCACTGAGTCTGTCTTTTCTACACCACTAGAGTTACCGCCAACCACTGTGATTCTCAAATGTGCTCCCTGCACAAGCAGCATCAGCATTACCCTGAACTTGTTAGGAATGCAAATTCTTAGGTTCCATCTCAGAGCTACTGAATCAGAAACTCTAGCAAGTCCTCCAAGTTGATTCTGCTAATATTTGAGGATCACAGATCTACTATGTAAAGGTGATCATATTATCCTCCCATTTTAAAACTCTAATGGCTCAGCCACGCACATACTCCAAGGTCCTCACTCACAGCATAATCCCATAAGAGATCCTTTGGGATCTCACCCTAGCCTGCTTGTTCAGCCACCCCACCCTGGACCCCTCCCACCTCACCCCACTTTCTGCATCCTGTTACTGAGAAATTTGCTGAGCTCTTTCCTGAACTGCACCTGGTGAACTTTTACTCTTCCATCACTTCCTCTGGTGCCTTCCCTGGCTCCCTGGCATGAAACTGCCCTGGTACACTCTTAAGTATACTGGACTAACAAGAACACATTGTTTCTCAGCAGTGTCCTTTATCTCCCAGAGTTTGTCCTGGGTGGGGAATTCAGTCTCTGTAGATTATATGGAACCTGGATCAGTTGAGACTGTTGGTTGTCCCTGTAGCCAGTCAGATTGGGGTGCTTGTAAGTAGCTGTTTATTTGCAAATTAATATACTGATACTCAGAAACTGTCCTTTCTGTTCCATGTAATAAATAGGACACCATTTACATTTGGAAAAGAAAGGTTCTCTGTTCATTATGAGAAGAGTGGTGGATTAAAAGCAAGAAAGGAAAAGGTTGATTTTGAAAGGCACAGGTTCACCCTTTCACTTGGCAGTAATCTTATCCTGACAGCATTTAATGTTAAGTAATTGTAGCCAGAAAAGAATCTTAGTAGGCTTTAATTAAAAACATAAGGAATGTTTTTTCTCTTGTCGTCGTCTTCCTATCTGCCTCTCTTTCATCTTTTCTTTCTTCTCTTACACATTTCCGTGTTCTCCTTTCTCCTGCCCCTCTCTTTCTCCTCTTCATCAACCCTTAACACTTAAAATGTTTTTGGCTTGGCTAATCCCTATGGATGGAAACTTAGCCAAGCAGGATATTGATTACCAAATATGGTATTGCTGCTAAAGATGTTAGAGGAATGTGGCTTGTATTCTAAGCCTCTGGCCTGTGAATAAGCTGCCAAACAAATTAGGTCATTTTAACTTCTGAGCTTTTTTTTTTTTTTTTTTTTTTTTTAAATAAGGATGCTGGAACTTTGATTTGGAACATGATGTTGATGTTATTTTAGCTCAGATGGGAGGAAGGGGATATAAAGAAGGGGGCAGGGAGTGAGGGAAACTTAGTTCAGCATGTTTTAGGACTTGAGCCACCAGCCCAGGTTGTGTAAGAGGCAAGTACATTATGTGGAGCTTCAGTTGATTCTGGAACACCAGTGAAAGAGCTGAGGCATGGAATTCACATGTGCAGCCTCGTTTTCTGAGGCTAGTTGCTTTAGAGGACCACGACCAAGTCCCAGGATACTCTTCATGTTATCCCCAGTGGCCTGGGTCACATGACTCATGGTAATGTGAGCTCAGATTTAGGAGGTATCTTCTTCACAGGAAGGTTGGTCAAGTTTAGTGCCAGGGAATATGCCCTGAAGTTGATGGCAAGTTGCTACTGCTGTATGTGTATCTGATGGAGTGTGGTGCAAATGAGCAAGTCCTTCCACAGCATACCTGTACATGACACCCAAGGACTGTGCTTGTCTCCCAGCAGAGACCACAGTTCTGCAGGTCCATTCTTGGAAAGATGTATTCTGTTGTGATACTAGCTTTGTTAGGGTGGAAGTTGGTCCATCTCAGTGAGGTCCTTTATGACTTCACCTCAGCCTGCTTCAGAATGCAGCTTTGTTTTTTGGTTTTGTTTTTCCTTGTATACTTTTTTGGCAAAATAATATTGAGGTTTCCCAAATTTAAAAAGAAAAAAATGCATACAACCAACACCAATTTAAGAAAATTTGTTTTTAGGTTTCACAAAACAGGCACTGTCTTCGCTTTTCGGTGTTGATTAGGTATGCACAAGGGTATTCTCCCCAACCCTTTTGCTATGGCCCTCAGTTGGTTTCTTCTCAGAATGAATGAGTCATGCTCATGAAGAAATTCCACCCACTCCAGGACCTCTGGATCAGGGCTCTGTAGCTTTTGTTAGACCTTTCTAGGGACCTCTTTTTCCTTCCCCTTGCCCACTTATTGCCTCTTGATGCCACTACCATCCAGCCACAGGCTCTTCCTTGTATCCTTGAAGCTGAGCCTTTGAAGTTCAGAGTTGTTCATCCTGGTCTCTGGAGTAAGAGACTCTTATTTTTGTGGATATTGCTCTTACTTTTCTTGAAGCTCATTAAGAAGAATGGTGGGGGGCAGGGGATGCTTTGGAGGCCACAGGCCTTAGTGTGTACATTCAGAACACTAAATGGCAACTGTGTTCTTAGGAGACTCATTTTCAGGACTCCAATTCCTTTATAGACCACACCATATAATCATGGGACCTGAGTGGGTCCCATGGGTGCACATTTAAAATACAGTCTATTTGGGATATCTTTCTGATGCGTAGGGTCCAGAATTCATGGTATTGGATGCTTAATAATGAAGGCATTCTTGAATGGTGGAAGGGTTCCACTTAGACATGTCCTGCCCTAACTTGTCTTTCATAATGTCTGTGATTTATTTTACTAAATATGATCTGTTTTAGATAAACTTTCAGGAATAGGGTCAAAGGTAACTGAAATTACTATATATTAAAATGTGTGACTGTGCTAGGAATTTGCTCGTTCAAATTTTAAACTGGAAAGTTTTTGTCTAAAAGGGGGGTATTGAAAATCTATAACTAAATTTTTTAAGTAAACTAAATCCTACTGACTTTTGGGATTCTTTGTGTTGTCGTTTTTCATGTGACTTGTGTAAGTAGTAAAAATGACCTTTTTTCCTGATAGACCAGGGTTTACTGGTGTTTATTTTGTCACCATTCTGGTTTGACTAAAGAAATGAAAACATCTTCCATTTGTTCTTTATTTCCAAAGGGCATCCGCTTTGATCCTGAAATCCCGCAAACACTGCGACTAGAGTTTGCTAAGGCAAACACGAAGATGGCCAAGAATAAACTCGTAGGGACTCCAAACCCCAGTACTCCTCTGCCCAACACTGTACCTCAGTTCATTGCCAGAGAGCCATGTAAGTCAATCTACTTTTCATTCAGAAATAATAATAACTAAGAACTGTTCTTGTGCTGCATGTGAGGTTACACCATGGGATGTGGAGCTGGCTGAGTCTTATTTTCCATTTCTGTGAAGAGGTTGCCTAGGCAATCTTGGTGTCAGAATTCCAAATACAGCAATCTTGTTTGGGATTGGCTGTCCCAAAAGATGGTTCAGCTTCAACAGAACCATAACTTCAGAATTGCATTTGATGTACTACAAATTTCCTTTGTGAGTATGCCCCTAGTTGCCTTGGGTATAAACCCTTCATTCCCCTATGTTTGGGTGTGACACCTGGTTCTCAGTATTTACTTTAATTTGCTAAATTAAATTTTACTAAAAGAGCAAGTCACTATTTCCATTTGTTGAAGGACATCAGCTCAGTGGCTTTGGAAAAATAGGATATTAAAAATGAAAGAAGCAGATCTTACAAAGTTGGTTCCATTCAGCCATAACTCTAGGGGTAAAAGTAAACACATGCAAAGAGTTTATTTATTGGAACAGTCAATCTAGCAAACTGTAATACCATAAAACATTAAAGAAATTTGGGGCTTCCTGTTTTAACTTAATTGGATAAGGACACTGGCTAATTGCTCAACAAGTCTTCTACCCAGCATTAATGAGCTTATTTCTTTATATGTCCATACTACCATTTCTGTCTTTCATTGGATAACTTTAAAAGATTGTCTGAAGTTTTTTTCTTAAGCTCTGTCAGTGGCAGAAGTGGGGCGTGAGACAGGCCTTAACTCTTCCTTTCATTGCAGAGCCGTATGTCATTTAATATGGCAGAGTGTTCAAGGAAACCCAAGTGACTTGGATTCCAAGTTATTTGGAATATTTCTGTCCCATCTTTTTTTTTTCTGCTTTCTAAACCACAGAATCATGGTCTTCTTCCTTTGATGATAAAACATTTTAACTCTTCGTACTGAATTTGAAGGACACAAATCCATGTCGTGCATGTCAGATTTAATCACATTATCTTTGGAAGTCACAGCCATTCTTGTAGCTCAGTCACTATTGAGAAACCTGCTACTCATCAGTAGAAACTAACAGATAACTCTGCCAGCATGTTCTAAAATAAATGTTTCTATGAAGCCAGAAAATCATAATAGAGAAAAAAATTATTTTGTTCTTCCACTTTCTTTGTTCAGGGAAACTAGAAACTTTTGCTTATTTGGGAAGGAAATCTAAACAAAAGTTAGATCTTATAGCGTACTTGTAGTACAGAAGGATATAGGACATTCTTTACATCATTCTTTATAGTATCTAGCTTAATACTTTGTATATGATATATATTTAATATTATAGTGAGTACACTGATATTGAAATTGGACTATTTGTAGAAGTACAGACTCAATTGTGTGCCTCCTCTCTCTGAAATTTCTTCTTTTTTGATCAAGTTATCAAAAAAGAATATTTTTAGGATACTTGATTTAGCAAAGATAACCTAAAGCAATTCTTTGCCTTTTTAGTGAATTTGCCAGCCTCAGATCTCAGAGTTCTTTGAAAAGATTAGTTCAGACAGGAAATGTAATGCTGGTGATACTTAACTTTACATTTCCATTTATCTGCTGAATACAGGTACTCTTTTTATCGGGACCACAAAACTTTTTCTGAATCTCCTACAACAGCCCTGTGAAATAGGTAGCCAGGAAGGTAGTAGTAGCCAAGACACAACATGCTATACAAAGCAACAATTATGAAGAAACTGGACATTCACAAGTCCCTGAAGTTACAAGAGAGCATACAAACAGAGCTTAGAACTCTGTTCTGGCAAGCGCTGCTCACCTCCCTTCCTGGCATACCAGAACAGTGCAAAAATGGCCAGATAGTTTCCATGACAGGGTAAAAACTTGCCCAACTGTTCACAGCAACACAAATTTGAAGTTAAAAAAAAAAAAATCAAAGCAGCCAGCCATGTATTCTCAAGAAAATAAAAGTTAGCATGATTTCTCTTAATATAGCACCTTTTTACGACACAATGTCTTGATGAGAGCAAGTTCACTGTGGCTCAGGTCAACTTTATTATCCATTGCCCTTCCCTCTGGGAACTGGGGACTTGCCTGTCACATACAACCGTTGCTTTCCTGGAAGCACACTGCAAGACTAAAAACATTACATTGGCTCTACATGGACAAATCCAGTTGCATTGTACTCGGAATCAGTACTCCAGCTGGTTATTTTTACTACTTATCAGGTGTAGACTATGATGGAATTGCAGAATTTGGGGTGTGGAAAGGCCCTGAAGGCTAGTCTTTGTTGTAGGCCTTAAGAGAGAGAATTTTTTTTTATAAATGTTTCTTATCGTTAATGTTTTTATATGGTAGTGATTGAAAAGCACTCATTGCCATCACTAAAGGAAGAATGATCTGTGTTTTGATTTTACAACAAACATTCACTTGAACTCTCAATTTCTCCGCAAATATCTGAACTTAATGAACTTAAACGAGCACCCAGTGTGCTAGACTGTGGAGAAGAAGGAAGTTGGTTGTTGCTATAAAAGAGCTGTCATTCCAGGGAGCTGATGGTGGTCAAAGTTGTCTGAAAAACTTGGCCCCATATGGAGGACATAAAAGAGATTCTGCAGCTTAGTTAAGATTGCCCCCGAATCAGACTGCTGTATTTGCTGAGTATTTGCGCCAGGCATGAAGAGTGAGAAAACTAGGTGTTGCAACTTACCCGAGTAGATAGTGGCCTGCTGTGGAGAACCTTGGCTTCAGGGTAGAAGATGTCAGTGAGAATCCTGTCAGTAATTCTGCCAATTATTGACAAGCTTTGTGACCTTGAAGGAAAAAAAAGTAACTTAGTTGTGCTGCTATTCCCTCAGCTATAAAATAGGAATAATACTTTCTGTACCTAATTGTTAGGAGAGCTACATAAAACAATATCCCAGGATTGGGCTGACGATTAAATAGATACGGTGCATGTAAGAGTACTACGTAAATGTAAAGTACAGTCATAATTTGTTAATTTTAAAAAAAGGCGTGGAGTTGCCTTTCCTAATAGTTACAACAGGTATTGATCTTCTAAGGTGTCATCACAGTGTGAGTGCAGCCAACTATCTTTGCAAGTTAGGAGAAAGGATGAGTCAAATTGACATACAATTTCAAGAAAGTAGTACATCTACCTGCTTAAGTTTTTATTAATAGAATTGATCATTAATTTGAGCTTTTCTTTGTCTTCCTTGTATGTAATAAAGTTTAAAAGACCTGAGAAATCAGGTTAAGAGATGAGGAAGCATTATAAATTACATTAAATTCCCCTAGATTGTGCATTAGATTGTACAGGAAGGTAGTATTGTATAATAAGAACTCTACTTTGGAGATGAAGAAAGAGTAAGTTACTATTTCTGATTTTTGTTTTTCTCATCTGTAAAGTGATGATGCTGTGTGCCAGGTGCTCCGCTAAGCATTTTATGTGAATTACCTCATTTGATTCTCAAAAGCACTTGTTTTCCAGTTGAAGAAACTGAGGCCTTAGAAAGTCTAATAAGTTTCCTGAGGTTACACCGTCAAATAAGTGTGATGGCCGAATAGTGTCCCCCAGAATTCATATGATGAAGTCTTTGCTCCTAGTATCTCAAAACGTAACCATATTTGGAGATAAGATTTTTAAAGAGATGATGAAGTTCAAGTGAGGCCCTTAGGGGTGGAGCCCTAATCCAATATTACTGCTGTCCTTATAAGAAGAAAAAGAGACACCGGGTATGTATACACACAGAGGAAGGGCCGTGTAAGGACAGAGGACAAGGCAGCCATCTGCAAGGCAAGGAGAGAGACTTAAGGAGAAACCAACCCTACCAACACCTAAATCTTGGGCTTCTGGCCTCTAGAGAACTGTGAGGAAATAAATAATTGTTTAAGCCCTCACTCTGGTATTTCACTATGGCAGCCCTAGCAATACAGTACATCAAGTGATAGAGCAGAGACTTAAATTCTAGACTACTTATTTTGTCATTTACTAGCTTTGTAAGTTAGGTTTAGTTACCTATAACCTGTCTGTGTCTCAGTTTTCTCAGCTACACAGCAGTAGTAATAAGGGCCACAGAGTCAGTCCACAGTGACTGTTAGTGTGTATGTGTAAAAATATGTACATTCATGTGCCTTTCGTCCCTCATAATTATGAGACCTATAGTTTTTCTGTGTTTTCTGTACTCAGCGTCTGACATCTAGAAATACATAATAAAATTTTTTTTGGTAACATACCATAGTTTTATTTATTTATTTATTTTTGAGACAGTCTCCTTCTTATTGCCCAGTCTAGAGTGTGATGGTGCCATCTTGGCTCACCACAACCTCCGCCTCCCGGGTTCAAGCAATTCTCCTGCCTCAGCCTCCCAAGTAGCTGGGATTATATGCAGTGCCTCCACGCCCAGCTAATTTTGTATTTTTAGTAGAGATGGGGTTTCTCCATGTTGGTCAGGCTGGTCTCGAACTCCCTTATTATAATAGTGCCCTTAAAGGTGGAGGCATTCAACACTTAATAGAGCCTTTACTCAATTTAGACAGAGCCTGTCCTTTCAATTCCATTTTTGTGGAGCAAGTATCAAAAGGCTTCGGAACTCTGGAGTAATGAAGATGCCTATACTGTAGCCCCAGGGAGTCTGGCTCTGAAGGTCTGGTCTGGGACTTAGGTTCCGTACTTTTAAAAAATAATTATTATTCTTACTATTTTCATCCACTCTAGGCTTTTAAAAGCTCTTTGGGTAGTTTTGATGCACAGTTACGTTTAAGATAAATCAAGGAATTTTTAAAGTTAAATTTGTCTTCCTACTCTAATATTCTTTTCCCTTAACCCTGCACCTTTCTTCCCTCCTCCCTTCCCTCTCTCAAAAGCTTGCTCTGTTAGATTGGTACTCTTAGATACCTGATGAGCACATAACCTTTTGGTGAATAATCAGATTACTTCCTTGTTTACCTGCCCTGTCCCTGGAATTTCCCATTTGTGCAATACCAACCTAGGCTAACTAGAAGTGAG